TTTGAAAATAATATGAATATTGCTTTTGGGTTATAAAAATTGGATTCATTTATAATTAATAAAATTTGGGAAAAATTTAAGTTACAATAGACAAGTTTAATTCTTAAGACTTTGGGCGAATATAAGCTGTGTTTCACGGATCCTTGACTACCTACCTGTATGAACAAGTGCTTTCCATTGTTGGAATGGCTATTACGAAGCTCGGGATCTGGTTTTTAAATGATTCGTAAAACTCTTCAGGTTCTGATTCTGAGAAACGAAATATCAAGGGCACAGACTTTTGAATATGAAAAGTATCGTCACAAGTTCGACGGTATTGTCTCATCTCCTTCTGTATCATATTCTTCCTTTGCAAATGCACACTGTTCTTTGTTTGTTCAAGTGTAATTTTCGCCAATTCAAGAACCAACGAAGCAGATTGAAATAAAGTTGGTAGAATTACCGACAATATGTAAAATAAAAGGACACAAGTGCAACTAATGTGACATTTTTATTGGAGCAACGTTTCGCTCTCCAGGAGCTTTGTCAAGCCATTAATAGCCGTAATAGAAGCAAATGGGCCCTGAGACAGACCAGGTCCACTATTTTCTTGACTGGGGGGAAGGGGGCTCAGGCATACGTTCAGGAGTATGATTAGTACCATTACGAGCAAAAAAGTGAAGCGAGCAGCGGAGACTAACACGAGCTCCTGAAGCAGCTGAAACACCAGGTTGAAACGCTATACCGTACTATTCAGATCTTAATTTATTACGTATTAACTAGATGCTAATTGAACGATCGATAGGCCAGCAGCGTTGTAGAGGTAGTCTGGGCAAGTTTTGCCGAATGTACGCCGTCGCCAAACGCCTAATATGCAGAGGCGGCATCACCAGCCAGCACTGAAAGAAGCGCCGCCCTATAACGATACTTTCAATAACTGTAAGAAATAACAACGTAAGCAAGTCGGCATCATAAGGAAGCAGTGCAATGCAGCACAGGGAAAATAATGGCTTCAGAGCCGGCACCATATTAACAACACAGGTAGCAGTTCAAGGTCTGTTGCACCTTACCGTAACCAAAGTTAGCAATATTGTAAGATAAGATTTTCGTTCGGATTTTTAACCCCGGAGGGTTAGCCACCCAGGATAACCCAAGAAAGTCAGTGCGTCATCGAGGACTAACTTATTTCCATTGGGGTCCTTAATCTTGTCCCCCAGGATGCGACCCACACCAGTCGACTAACAACCAGGTACCTATTTGCTGCTAGGTGAACAGGACAACAGTGTAAGGAAACGTGTCGAAATGTTTCCACCCGCCGGGAATCGAACCCGGGCCCTCCGTGTGTGAAGCGGGAGCTTTAGCCACCAGGCCACCGGGCCACCTACCAGCAATACAAGAGCAAGGAAAATCCAGAAGAGGCAGCTTTTCTATGCCCATATATTCCTTCACCACTATGTACAATATTTACACAGTTAAGTTGTTAAGGTGGCAGCATGATGACGTCACCGTGGCTGGGAAGCCAGCGGGAATGTCAGTGTCTGATGAATGTTGAGTAAAGTGAAACATACTCAGATTGTGATTATTAGTCTTGTGAAAATACATTTTTGGGAAAGTTGTGGACATAAAGTAGAAGTGAAGAACAGTTTAGTTGTGGTGGTGTCGTGAGTGTGGGTGGGTGTGAGTTGGACCTGACTAGCTTGTGCTGCTGGGTCTGGTGCAGTGCTCCATCCATGAGTGGAGATGATCAGACTGGGTGGATCATTGGGCTAATCCGGGGGGATGGGTCATTGGTCTAATCGGGGGGGGGGGGACATGGACCTGCTCCTCATGGGTCAGTACTACGCCTGTTGCAGTGTTCCTTCTTTCTTATGTTCTTATGAAAACATTCGTATTAGTTGTGAAGAGATGTAGGAAGGGTGGGATATGAGGAACAATGGTGGATGAAGCTGGGGAAGAGAAGATAAGCAGGTTTCTCTTTTTATATGCTAGCAAGAGGAAGGGGTGGGATGAGCGTGGAGATACGATGCTGAGAGAGACTTTTCATTTTGTATTTTGCTGTCGCTGTTTATGTGATCATCCAGTAACTATTGTCAGTCTCGCAGCTGCTTCTGTTTTCTCTTTCTCTAAGTAAACATGAGAGTATCTTGGTGCTTGTTTCAAATTTTTTGCCCCTTTGATCCAGTCTTTTGAAATTTTTGATATATGAACAAGCTTAATCGAATGCCGTTTCTCTCCACAACATTTGCTGAACCCCCCAAAAAATATTTTATATTTCTTATTTCCTAAATTTTCTTGATGCCATTTTCCTATTTCTACATTGTTTTGATTCTTGATCTCCGAAAAGTATTTTAGTTTAAGCTCTGCGATAAATAGTACCAACGCGATTGTTTTCTATTTTTCAAAGGCGAAACTCACTCGCCTAGTGTTGTGATCATCATACCGGATTATATAGTACACTTCTATTATAAAAAGTTCTCCGGAATCCCTAATCATTAACGTTCAGTCATAGTACAGAATATCTGGTTTTACTTTTGCTGTAGTTAGTACGGCAGTATGTATAAATTCTCTCCTTACTTTGGTTACTGTTTGTGTTTTCCTTAGATAATATTTGTTACATGATGTATAATTATTACATTTGTATGTGGTATTATATGGCCATGGAAAGCTTATTACATTTGTTGACAGATAAGGCCTGTTTTGTTATTTTTATGTGCTGTGATGTACTTTTTAATAAAATATAAAAAAAAAATCATTCGATCTGGATATTTTCATGAATATCTTTAGTGGTTTACAGCTTAATCATTGAAGTTCGGTTGGTTCAGTTAATATTAGTTTAGGTAGTGATTTTAATTCAAAGTTTCTTCCCGGTAAATGGACTATATATGAGTCTTAGTGCTTATAATCGAACGTCCGTGTATGCGAGATCACTTTTTTCAGAGGTCAAGATTATAATTTTACCTTTCCCAATTTTTTGGTAATTGTTCGTATATATTGATGGTGATGTATCTAACGTTTTCTTATAGAACAACCGGAAATGACGATATAGAGTGCACAGTTCACCTGCTCTATCTTGCATTGCTTGACCACACTACAATCACTCTCACATAAACTGTCATGGTCATATTTCACTGTTCACTCATGACTGCACGCCACAAAACTGGCTGCCACATCGCACTGTAATAAGCGGTGACGTGAGGAACGTCCTTGATCAAACATATCACTCAAAATTTTTCTTTTGTGGCTAACTGGTGGTTCAGTCCTTTGTCGTTGTAGGAGGAGACAGTTTAGACTGATGGTACGATACTTCATGTGTTGCCTCTGCTGGTGGCTGGGTTGATGTAGTCAGTACATCTTATTCTTTCTCCTGGGAGTATGCGACTCTTGTCGTTAGGCTGTAATGTTTCTCTCCATTCTGTGATCCATCTTTATTCTTACAATTAAATTTGTTGGTTAATTAATCAAAAGTTTTAACAACAGTGTATATAGTTCTTTCATAAAAGTTTATAATCAACAGGAAGAATATACTATTTTTTTTTTGTATATAGTGCACTAAGTAGATGTAGTGTAATTCCTGTGAACTAGTTTGAAATCAGTTGTATTGATAATATTTTTTGTGGCTTTCAACAATTTTTATCAGTATAATTCTAACATATCATTAAAAAAACCAAATGCATTAGGACTTTAACTATTTTATGATATATAATTAACCACTCTCGCAACTTTCATCCTTCTGTGTTAAAGTTATAAGAATTTTTCAGATCACAATTTTTAAAGGCAAGAGAGTTTCATTGCCCCCTAGATGTTAGTGATAATGGTGAGTTGTACAGACACGACTATGTATTTCCTCCACAAAATATACACAAATACAGAGGAAAACCATTAGCATTTACTATAATTTATTTTTAGAAACTCACCCTATATTTTTGAAGATCTAAAGTATTAGGCATCATATCTTAGATAATAAGTGTTCGACATCATTATATATTTCTAGGTACTCTCATTATCCTGTCAAAGACAAAAGTGTTAGATTTTATCAATCATTTCTAAGAACTCTCTTCATCTTTTAAAAGATCACAAGTATTAGTTATTATATTATTAGTAAATTTTAGGATCTCTTTTTAATCTTATCATAGAACACAAGTGGTTCTAGGACCTCTCCCTATCTTATCAAAGATTATGAGTGTTAGACACCACTAATCAAGTTCTAAGACCTCTCCATATCTTATCAAAAACCACAAGTGTTTGACACCACCAATCAGTTCTAGGACCTCTCCCTATCTTATTACAGAAAACAAGTGTTAGACATACTCATTTAGTTCTAGGACCTCTCCCTTTCCTATCAAAGGTAAATCCAGCTGCCGCATTAAGGAAATGTTTAAGTGTAATGTCACCTGCTTTCCCCTGGCCTCAACCTGCTGCACCCACAACCCTGACAACACTCAACCTTTCTTTCTCAGCGAGCACTGGTGAAGCGCGAGGAACAACAGGCGAGTTTGACATCTAAAGGAAGGGGAGAATATGTAGAAAGAGATATAAGAGAAGTAGAGGAAGAGAAGGAGGAGGAGGAGTAGTAAGGAGAGAGGCACGTAGAAGCCCACCACACACACTATAACACGCTGCATCGCTCCCTCACTCTCAGCTAAATCTTTTGTCTTAGTCCTAGCATGCTTGTTTTTTTCAAGGGAATGTAATGTGTACAGGAACTGCTAGACTGACTGTGTGTATGTTGATTGATGTTTCCTCTCGAGCTCCTGCAGCTCACATGTGACACTCTGCAGCTGCAGACAGCTTACAAACGCACACCTGGCCTGCAATTATACTTCAGCAAATTCTGTAGCTTACGTAAACCAAAAAAAAAAAAAATAAAGCCTTCCCGTGACAGGATCGCAGCCATGCTGAGTTTTAGGATTGGTTATGCCATTGTGGTCATGCATTATGTATATAAAAATATTTATATATTATCTCCACTTTATCAAAGAGGAACAATGTTAACACCTCATTTTACCTACTCCCCAAAACAGAAAGCCCGTCTAGCACGCATCCGGATTGCTAAGGCGTCTTCAGGAGCAGCGTTCGTCACCAAGAAGAAGGCGGCGGAGGCGAGACTAGCGGCCCAGGAGAGCGGGCTGGAGATGGACGAGTTTACTAAGGAGGAAGACATCTTCGAGATGCAGCATCACCACTTGCTTCGTTGCCTTGAGAAGACCACGGTCAGTTAATTATTGAACGACTATTAATGCTACTTAAGTCGCTTAATTTTTTTGCATGTTTTTTTCTTTATGGATTAAGAGGATATGGGATAAACCCTTATTTGAACGACGCCTACAGTAAAGGAAGAGATGCTGGTATGTTTTAAATTAAGACATTTAAGTTTGCTCTTCGTAGTGAGTTGCTGAGACCTATTTCAAGAACAAGCATGTCAAGTATGAGTCCAGGAGCTAGTGTAGTCAAGCTACTTTGACTTACCATAAACTGCTGAATTCTTTTAGCCTTAAATATGTAGTATTGCGCTAAAATTTTGATTTGAATTCGACACTCAAAGTTTTCTTTACTTTTTTTTTTCCTTTTAATATTTTCGAGTGAGTTGGGTACATGAGATGATCATGACTCGGAAGCAAGCGCTAAACCCGTGAGGGTCATATATTTCTTAATTCTTGACTCAGTGATTTTAAATGACGCGAGACATATTTATTCCCACAGTGAACGTTTCCATCCCACAATATGTTCAGTTATATGTATATATTATATATATATATATAATATATATATATATATATATATATATATATATATATATATATATATATATATATATATATATATATATATATATATATATATATATATATATATATATATATATATATATATATATATATATATATATATATATATATATATATATATATATATATATATATATTCAGAAGAATAAGAGAGGCAAAGAAAGACATTTTGTGTGTTACTAAGTGAAATGACACATCACTCAGAGAAGGTGTCACCTCACTCAGAGGTCACAACTCCCTCATTGTGAGGTGTCATCTCACTCAATATGGCAGTGCCTCAAAGATGATACATCAAAGTGCGCTGAAGGAGGCCTACTGGTCCACAATTTCCAATAAAACAGCAAATTGCAAATATGTTGAACCTCTAAATAAATTAACATAGTCAGACAATGATGTTCAACCAATAAGAGAGAAAAAAGTGTCCAGGAAATTTGAAATTAAACGTGTCAGGCCATCAACTCAAAAACATAAGAATTTAGGAGCAGTTTCAGAGGCTCACTGACCCACTCCAAAAGTATGACTCCTAAAATCCAACCTCCCACATACATACATTTGTCCAACATGTAAGATGTTAAGAAAAAAAATTGACAAAGAATACAATCGGTATTTTTGAGAAAAATATTTTCACCTTGAAGATTACGAATAATCATACCCTGGCCGGGATTGAACCCGCGGTCAGAGAGTCTCAAAACTCCAGCCCGTCGCGTTAGCCACTAGACCAGCTAGCCACAATAAGATTAGTCCAACTAGGTATATTTCTACACCATAGGAAGGTTAGCACAGGCACCACTGTGACCACAAATGCAAGTTTTTACAGACGAATCTCCAGTATTTGTGGTCACAGTGGTGCCTGTGCTAACCTTCCTATGGTGTAGAAATATACCTAGTTGGACTAATCTTATTGTGGCTAGCTGGTCTAGTGGCTAACGCGACGGGCTGGAGTTTTGAGACTCTCTGACCGCGGGTTCAATCCCGGCCGGGTATGGTTTGTTTGCAATCGTGTCATTACGATTTCGTGAATTACGAATAATATTTTGGACTATAAAATCGTTAAGTGTATATTGTTGGTAGAATTACCGACAATATGTTATGTAAAAAGACATAAGTGGAACTAATGTGACATTTTATTGTGGCAACGTTTCGCTCTCCAGGAGCTTTATCAAGCTGTTACAAACAATACATTGACACAGTATATGTTGATGGAGCAAATTGCAGTGTGAACTGACTGCTGTTAAAGTGGCCAGGCTTACTTAGGCCTGGTTACAAGTACTTCTGGCAGTCTGGCAGACACACGCATGGTGATCATGAAACCAAATGCAAAGTATGTGGCTAGCCATTAAAAAAAAATTTCTTTAAGTAAAGCTCACCATCATTGATAGTTTGAAGGTGATGTGAAAAGACACTCATATCGTGGCAACCAATCTCAAAATTCTTTAAAAAAAAATGGAAAATTGATACTTTCTCAGCACAGAAATAATCTAAAAATATTTCTAGATACTTCTGAGTTGACAATTTGAAGTCGTTCGAAGGTGATATTTTCAAGTTATACAAAAACTAATACTCATGTTTTTTTTTTTTTTTTTTTAAATTGGGAAATTGGAATTTACACTACCCAAAATTAATCTAAAGTTTTTTGTGTGCTAGATACATTAGCATCGTAGCTTAGAAACTTTTCATAAAGGCATTGTAAAGTTAAAGCAGGAAAAAAAAAGCCTAATAATTTTTTCGTAACACTGGCGAAGTGTCAACTACACTTACCGATAACAATCATCTGAACTTTCATCTCTATAAGCTGTACGAACTTTGAAAGTCTGAATTCTGTCAGAACAGGCGTTTTCAAGTTAGCACAAGGAAACCTTTAAGGAAGAAAAAAATCCGACATCCACAATAGGCATCCCCGTCACTGCTTGACAGCGATAAATTTGTCCAGACAGTGAGGCTGGTCGCTGGTCCTCAGGATCATCAGGTCAACCTCATCAACCTCAGGCGTCTTCCTCTCCGGGACATCTTATTAAAAATATTTATCTTTAAATGGAAAAGAAACTAAGCAAGCCTCAGAAAACAGCTAAATTTTATTATGCTTGTTTTTTAATTTTTTTGAAAACAGAAATTCTTGTGGAGGGGTGTGAGGGGTCTGAACTGTCGGGTCCAGAGGTGATGGAAAGTACCTTCTTCATGAGGGGTGCAACCTTGGAACATACTTCGGTGGTGGAATGTAGAGTGAGGTAAAGTGAGGTGGTCTGGTGAGTATCAAGATGGATGACTGAATCCCCAAGTCTCTCCAGGATGTACCTTGATGCTGGTGAGAGACTCTTGACCTGAGGAATTTGAATTACCTTCCTCTTCCTTGGATCAAATCTCATTGCCTAACCTAACCATACCCCCGGCCGGGATTGAACCCGCGGTCATAGAGTCTCAAAACTCCAGCCCGTCGCGTTAGCCACTAGACCAGCTAGCCACGATAAGATTCATCCAACTAGGTATATTTCTACACCATAGGAAGGTTAGCACAGGCTAACGCTAACGCGACGGGCTGGAGTTTTGAGACTCTATGACCGCGGGTTCAATCCCGGCCGGGGGTATGGTTTGTTTGCAATCGTGTCATTACGATTTCTTGAGTCTCATTGCCTAATATTCTTCGATATTTAAGGCATTAGGCACTCCTAATGAATGTAATAATAATTATAATAAGCTCAATAAATAAAATCGTACTTCAGGTCTCGGTTATCACTGAACTGGTGACTAGAGTTCAATATGTGACAATGTAGTAATAGACTTTCATGGGGATTTCGACTCTAATATACTGTATACTTTTTACACTGCTAAAATTACTGGCATACAGCTGTTATCCTACATCAGTTTATTTCAGTATCAAGCCAAGATATTCTACCACCCTTTTCCCACCAGAATGCGACCCATAATAATTGGCTAACAATTGGGGACATACTTTTAGATGAAGAGAGGTAAAAAGAAGGGAATATGCCTGTCGTCTCCAACCGCGTTGGAATTGATCTCGGGACCCTGGTTTCTGGCCGAAGGTGCTACACTGAGCCACAAGCCTCCATACCAGCTAACATATACACTGTGGTTACCTAAACATTCCTACTAAAGGGTTATAGTCTACCTGGGGGGTATTCCGGGGATCAACGCCCCCGCGGCCCGGTCCATGACTAGGTCTCCCGGTGGATCAGGGCCTGATCAACGAGGTTGTTACTGCTGGCCGCACGCAATCCAACGTACGAACCACAACCCGGCTGAACTGGCACCGTCTTTAGGTATCTGTCCAGCTCCCTCTTGAAGACAACCAGGGGTATACTGGTAATGCCGATGCAGCCACACAACCATGTTGTCTTAATACAGGTGCCATTTTTTAATGCATTTTTCATAGGGATAGTGGTCAATGTGTATATCCCAGTGCTGTAGGTCAAGGATAGAAGTCGACATGTGCGTTCAAGCACATCATCACCGGCTCACCGTTGACTCGATAAAATCTTATTGTGAAAACAGTGATTAACAAATATATACTCATAGATAACTACACTTAATGCCACCCCTCTGAAGGTAAAGACATACTGTGTTCTTTTTCATTAGGAAGACCACTAATAATTTTGATAAGAAACTTCTTCTATATACAAGCAACCACTGATAGCTCTAGGTCTTTCGTGTTGCAACAACACATCAGGAGCTTGCAATGTTGCAGAAATGAGTAAGAGGTCCAGGTAGATGCGTTCCAGGGAATGACTTGTTCGTTCCCTAGAGCTGATGGTTGTTTTGTATCTTGTATCTCTTATTCACGACCCAGAAAATAAAAAAAAATAGAAACTTTATATATAGGTCTTCGTCCGAGGTCTTCAGAAGTACAGAAAAGTGAAAAGTCTTGTTATACATAGTGAGCAAATCTACAGGTTACCTCTGTATTGAAGGAAAGTGAGACACTGGACATCAGATACAGTAGCTTGTCTGTAATTTCCAGGTGGTAACCACCGGTGTGTGGTCTGGCCGTCTTAATCTTGAATCTAAGCAAGAATGCATCTAACATTAAATTCATTATAACGACGTAGTACAGTTTTGTGGACGCCGTTTTTGTAGTACAGAAAACAAATGGGGCGATTTATCAGCTTTTTTTTCAGCAAAATTAATCAGTTAAGTTCTTCCATCTTCACACACACACACCACACACACACACACACACACACACACACACACACACACACACACACACACACACACACACACACACACACACACACACACACACACACACACGCACACACACACACACACACACACACACACACACGCACACACACACACACACACACACACACACACACACACCGCACACACACACACACACACACACACACACACACACACACACACACACACACACACACACACATACACACACACACTGTCCATTT